GTGTCCTCTCCCCCCCCCCCCCCCATGTGACCCAAAGAGATGCCACCTAAGGCAATAGGCTGCCTCAATATAGGGACAGCCCTCGCCTTTGTCACTTTCTGTGCAAGATAATTTTTTTTAATTTCCTTTGCACATGATTGGGAAATAAAAGTGAACACAGCTTCACCTTATTTACTAAGCTAAGTTAACAATCACTTTGCTAAGTGAACAGTCTCTACTCCTTTAGTAAATTAAGCCCATTGTGTGCGCAAGCTCTGTGTATATTTATAAGATCTTATCTCAGAGTAATGTTTGTTTACAAATACATTAATTACTATCAAATGATTTCTTATAGCTCCTTAAAACCCACCAACGCATTCTAAATGTAGGTCACATATCTCATTTCAATGCAAATAGCTTCCATCCATTTAATGCTCATTATGTTAAATTTTCATTTTAACTTATTAAAGTTCAAATGTTTTTCTTTCACTTCTGCAGAAACATTGCAATCTGCAGACTATGGTACAATCAATATTACCCTCATTTATTTACAAATTAACTATTTCATTCATTGCATTTTAAATGAAATCAATCAATGTTAATGAACCTATTAAACTTGTATTATTATTAGTTTACTTTGTTGCCTTTGTGACTTTCCTTATGGCAGAGCTTAAAAGCAACGCTTAATAAACTAGCCTAAACCCTTGGATCAGGACATCCTAGGTGTGATATTGACCAAAATGTAATAAGTATACATTTGTCTATTGTTTTTTTCCTTAAAGAACTGATTTTGGTATTAAACAACCTGTGCAGAAAAATACTAGCCACATTTCTGAGCCTGAGGACTCATCAAAGCAAGAAGTGACAAGACAAAGCACAAGGAAACCAGAGCTCCCCTCTTTCGGTGGTTTTACTAAGTGGGAAGACGCCTAAAGTATATTTTTATGACTCCGTGACTGACATGATCGGCATTACTTAGCTGAAAGATTGAATCAGTTCCTTATTTGTGAATTCCTTTTGGATTCTTCTCATCACTCCCTGATGTTTGTGGTTTACATGACAAACAATTGATAAGCTTAGCTGGAGAGACACAGGTAACAATGAAAGCAGTGTTTGGTATAATGCCACACAGCAAGACAGAACTTGTCTCCTCGCAGAGAAGAAACATGAACCACCAGTGACTGTTACACGTGGGGGGCCAATATAAATTACTGGCTGGGATTTAAAGTGCTTGAAAAGTGATATTATTCGAACTGACCGCAATGCCAATTGAACAGATGCAGCGCCGTAAAATATAATCGAGACAATAAAATGAGATGTTACATAAGAGACAGCGAGGAACGTGTTTACCTCAAACGATTCACATTCAAAACCTTAGACATCAGATACAAAAATAATTTAACTTGAGAAGTGAGCTTTGAGAATACTAAAGGGTAAAAGTATATTTCACAATCACAAGAAAGCTTTATTATTTTTAACTTGTTATATCTAGTATGTGGTACCTTATCTCTTATCATATACCTTTAAAGCCGAACTGCAGACATATAGCCTGGGGGGGTTGCCTACTAAAGACCTGTCTTCACAGGTCCACCATACTGTGGTGTCCTATGTTATACCAAGAACCATCCCGATAATGAAGCAGCCTAAGGCTGTTGCCTCAGGTGGCATCGTTGTGGGTCAAGTGGGGGGCAGCAGAGTGGCATGGCAACTGTTCTGCATAATGTTTGCCGTGTATTTCCTGCTCCTTTTACAGACAGAACGTCTCAGGTTGCTAAGAGTCGGATGGGGAGATGTAAGGACCATACATATCTCTCCGCCCAGCTCTGCCACAACACACTAGCCTGTTCGCTGCAACGGAGCATTCTAGAGGATTGGCAAGTGTTAACGAGCCCTTATGCATCTGCATATCTGTCCATTCAGTTCTGAGATTTACACAGCTCTAACACACAACACAGCCCTCTCTGGCAAGGAAGGAAACCTGATTTTTCTGTGATGTAGTTCAGCGATACTTACAGGTATCCACCCGCATTTTATGGAGTTTCCACCCCCATTCTATGACTGGTCAATGAAAGGAGAACCAGCATACTGATGATACAACTCAGCTCTATCACTCAGCTCTCTTCCCCTATCAGCATTCTGCTTGCATGCCAGCTAACTGATTGGCTCCTTGAACTGCTTCAGTCTCAGCTTTGCTTTACAGGAACTGCAAGAGGCTGATACAAAGCCAAATCCATGCACTAACAGTGCTTGCATCAAAAAAATAGATTGAAAGTGACATTAAAGTCAAACAAATGTTTCCCTCCCCTCAATGTTAATTAAAGCACTTACCTTAAATGATGTCTCTTAATCCGATCTTCTTTCCTGTTCTTTTCATCCTTCTCTCCAGAGCTGCTGCGAGTGTCCGATCCAACGCTGACTCCTCTGTCCTTGCTGGCACTTCCTGTCCCACGGTGTCTGCATGCGGGTGCACGCGTCCATAGACTTACTTTGTGTCTCTCCCTATCTCCCGGCCCAAAATCCGAACTGCGCATGCGCCCGCCCAAGCAGTTTCGGATTTTCGGACGGGCGCACGTGGCGAAGACGGGTAAGTTTAAAGCGCTTTAAAAAAAACTTTTTGCATATATCTACTGCTTGCTAGCAATAGATATATGAAAAAAAACAAAACAATTTAAAGCTACATTAACGAACACAGAGTTGCATCTATACGTCTTTTATATATTGCTGGAGTTCCGCTTTAAGTCCTTTTTCTAGACATTTTATCTGCTCAAGCAAATATGAACATTACAATAAAACACATTTGGAATATGTTATGTGACAGAAATGATCTATCTTTCAGGTGTACTATCATTTTAGAGGTTTGATCGCAGTTAAGGTTAGTTAAATCCCATCAAGAGATATTTGTAGCAGTGTAATTTGTGATGAAAGTATCTAAGGAGGATAACTAGCAAACTGTGAAATATAAAGCCAGTAACAGATGGGAAAATCTCATCTACAAGATCTGCCTCTCCATGAAGAGTGCTGCCCAATGCTGTCCACCCTGACAGTCACTGTTACCATTGCGCACAGTGAATAGATCATTCCCTTTTACCTATGGTCAGGATTGAGTATATCAAGTCTTAAACTGTGCAGCTGTCCAATGACATGCTAGACACCGATGAATTATTTAAGAAGATTGAAAACTGCATGCATGGTTTAGGGATATTAGAAGTTACCCATGGCCTAATTAAGGCTGTTGAAAAATGGTATTACATGGTATATTTAATTAAACTCACCCCTACTATCTCATATGTCTTAAAGAAGAACTCAAGGCAAATAAAACCTTAACCCTTGCAGTGGGGCTAACCCCGCACTGAAAGGGTTAAGTGCTCATTTGGTCTAGGAAGCCAAAATAACAAAGTTATATTCCCAAAGCCACAATACCGGCTGGCTGCTAGACCGGTCCCTGGAGCCTCTCTCCCCCTCTAAGGTCATGTGAGTCATTATGTCCGGCACAGTGTATTGGACGTGAGGATGCCGAGGGACATACCATCGCTGGATTTAAAACAAACTTACTAAAGGAGTAGAAACTGTTCACTTAAAGTAAGTGTTCACTGAGTAAATGGGGTGTTCACGTCACATATTTCTCTTGCACATGATTGATTTTTTAAAGTGAACATAGCTTCACCTTATTTACTAAGCTCAGTGAATATTAATTTTAAGAAGTAAAAAGTCTCTACTTCCTTAATGAAGCAATCTAATGTTTTCATCTGGTTTCTAATAAGGATGAATTTGATAGTGTACGTAGATTTTATTACTTAATAGATAGCTATAAATTTTACCAAACAATAATATTTGGGTAAGCCATATCACACATAGGACCTCGTACTTGATATTTTACATGTCAGTGGTGCATTTTGTATCTGTATTGATAATAAACTTGTATTATGGTAATAGCTGTGGCCATTGATAATAGCACTAGCAACGTAAAGCAGGGGTAGGCAACCTTGGCACTGCAACTGTTGTGAAACTACAAGTCCTATGAGGCATTACAAGACTCTGAGAGACACACATAAGACTTCCATAGGGGGAGGCATGACAGGATTTGTAGTTTCAGAACTGCTGGAGCTTGCCTGCCCCTGGTCTAAAGTATGGTGGCTACAACTAAGTTCCAGGTACGTCTGCATCTGGGCGCCCCCCTACGCCTGAATACAACTTACAGAAAAAGCCAAATTAACCTTTTAGGTATCTGATGGAGTAAATTGACACTGGATTGGTGTCTATTGGTTACTGCACATTGATCTTATTGAGTCATGGTCTGCAAGCTTGTAAAAGTCTATAAGCAACTTTAGGTTAAGGTTAGGTTAAGCCTGACTCTAAAGTCCATCATCTTTTATTA